TTTTTTTTTTTTTTTTTTTTTTTTTGTACTGAAGATCAAACTCAGGACCTTGAGCCTGCAAAGCAGGTGGAGGAACTGAAATGTGTTACTCTTATAGCTTGAATGTCATGAAATCCTCAAGTTTGTAATCTTTAAAAAGGAAGTTTCTGGGCTGGGGATTTAGCTCAATGGTGCTGCCGCTTGCAAGGACCCAAGTTTGATCCCTGGTACTGAAAAAAAAAAAAAAAATCTGAGTTTCCCTTTCTTTTTCAAATTCAAATCACTGCCCGGGATTTAGCTCAGTGATTCCAGCTGCGTGCCTCCCAAATTCAAAACACCTTTGCATTTTTAGTCAGTGATATGGACCAGGTGAGCAAACTATAAAATGCTTAGGTTTGTAATTTTTGCCCACATTCTTGTTAAATAAAGGGTCAAAATAAATATGGTTCTGGCCACTTAGATTCACATAGATTAATAATTCTGAATTCTTTGATAGCAGACCTTGCCTTTGATAGCTTTTGTTGTGATTCTGTACATCCAAAATAGAATGAGGAGAAGGGCGTCCTAGGTGGTGAATAAGCCCACAAAGAAACACTTTAGCTCAGCTGAAGGAGATAAAACTATGCAGCCCTGTGGGAAGCCAGCCATGGCCCGCTGGCTTTTTGAAAGATAACATTTGTTCCTTTTTAAGGACTGCACGTGTTAAACTTGTTTTTGACCCTGCACGGGAGAAACTCGGACAGCCAAAGATCTGTAGGAGTCAGGTGGTTCCTGTTAAAGATCTGACGTTATCTGTAGGAGTCAGGTGTTGTAACTCCATTTTGTTAAGTTCCTCCACCTAACGTGGGAATCATGCCTGCAATAAACATCGCCTTGATCAGACTCTTGTCTTGGCGTCCTTCCTTTCTCTCTGCCCCATCTCCACCCTGCTGCTCTTTCAGGTTTGAGACACTGCTGGACAGTGCTCTGTGTCGCTGGCTCGCGACAAGTGGCGCCCGAACAGGGACCTGAAATTGAAGCGGCGATTGGTGAGTAATCAGAAGAAGCCTGCTGTCAAAAAGGAGGACACCGCTGTCTGGAACACCCGGCAGGGAAAATCCTTGGAGAAGCAGGTACCAATGGGGCACATAGGATCCAAGATGAAATTTAGCACAGTAATTCAGTCTTTATTCAGGGAGAAAGGAATTAAGGCAAAGAAAAAACAATCATAGTTCAGAAAAAGGACATTTTAAGCTGAAGTTGTTATAGAAGTTTAATAGTTAATGAGACAAAAATATTAGGAAAGCTATAAGAGTTATACTTTTGACATGAAAAGCTTTTTGTATGTTCATCTTGTTAAAAACAGGTAAAGCAAGATATACAAGACTGGAAGGTCTAAGTATATAGAGGTGTGTGGAAATCATTTATTTATGTTTGCTTGTTGGTTTCAAGTTTGTTATAAAAGGTTTACATTTACAGTCAAGAAGAGCTTTCATTCCTTTAACCCTAATTCTACAAGAGATCTCTGTTAAGTTTGACCTGCAAAAATTTTGACTAGTGGTAACTAAAAGATTTTATAATTCAATTGGCCAAAACCATCTGAGTGCACTCATTTAAATTGTCTTATATGTTTGTCTGTCTTAAATGTTCAGGATGTTGGTCCAATTATGTTCTTGATTAAAATGATGTCAAATACAAATAGATTGTTGATTTCTACAACCTGGCTTTATAGGATCAAATAAAAACTTAAATATAAGTAAATATAAATCTTTAAGTTTGGATATGCTCCTGTTGGTAAATAAAGAAGCAGCTGCTCAGAAAATTTATTCTGATCTTTGTTCACTAATGGGAGCCACCAAAATAATTTTCATAGCCTTATAAAAAGATATGCCTTGTTAAATATGTTGTTAAAAATGTTTACATGGGTTATCAAAACACTGAATTCTAAATATGTTATTGTAACATGTTTATGGTAGTTATCTTCAAAATATTTCTGTAAAAAAAAGGAAGATCCTGTTGATACAAAGCTACATTACAGGACATAAGATTTCATATAAGTATAATTATTGCTACTTTTCTGGTATACAAAAAGTATTCATATTGTTTGACTGTCGCGAGCCGCGACGTCAGGATCCTGCCAGCAGGTCCTAAACCTGAAAGGATGAGGACAGAGAGACGGGAGGCACCTTTCTTCTTCAGTTGCTTGCTTTATTACTGAACCTCTTCCTTTTATACTCTCCAGCTGCATGGGAGCGAGGGCTGCACGGAAGCAAGGGAGCGAGGGAGCGAGGGAGCGAGGGAGCGAGGGAGCGAGGGAGCGAGGGCACCGCCCACACATTCCAGAGGGAAACAATAACGACCATTATGGGTTACATCTGCTACTAGCTGAACTCGCCCGTGGCTATGGGCGAGAGCACCTCCGTGCCTGTGTCAAGGCTCACCATAATGGCTCGCCATAATTCCCCCATCTTTCTTTGATAGCATGAAGAATGCTATCAACTCATCAGCCAAGGAACCTCTGTCTTAGGCGGCAGAAGTCTTCCATCTCCTTACCCGTCATCAGTCGCAGGGCTCATGTCCCAATACGACCTGTCTTAGGTTGGTAGACAGAAGCTTCCGTCCTTACCCGTCACTGAGTATCCCAAGGCGGGGGATCTAAGCATGCCAAGCCTGAGCCAAGTAAATGGCTACACACGTTGTATCATCATCCAAAGAAGCTTGTACAGCCATGGCTGAACGCTCTTAAACTGGGAACGCTTCCAGCATTGATATGAGCAGTAACCCAAAATACACAAACCAATCATAATAGCAATAACAATAAGCCATATAACAATCCAAAAAGGTGAAAACATCTTTTTCAAATTTTCCCAAACTTCTGTAGCAAAATCTAAATCAAGCCGGATAGAATTGGCATGAACACCAGACAAGACCTCAATGTCCAATGACAACTGATTAGTTGTAGTTAGAAATGTCCGAGTCCAAGACCCTCGCAACAATAAAGAAAGTCGTCTAATTTCCTCAGAATGGTTTTTGACAGGAAAGGGAGTAAGGCAGAGTTGTTGAAATCTGGGGTCACAGTCCAATCGAGTATGCAACCACAATCCTTCAACTTCTTTGTTTAATAAGTCCATTTGTTGCTGAAATATAGCCAAACCAGTTCCAATGAATCCTTGTTCTGGACAATAAAGTCTCCGTTTGTGCACCAAGACACATCCTGGAGTTCTCTCTGCTGCTCCAGTGTTGGGGTCCCAATCCAGTCTCCAGATTCAAGCTATTCAGGGATAGCAGCAGATCTATAAATATACTTGTAACCATAAGTAGGTGGAGCAGAAGAGAAGGGAGAATACCTGGACTAAAAGGTTATTCTCATAAACAATATGCTGGAAAACCTGCATGGTCAAACAATAGGAGTACATTTTGTATGTCAAAAAGTAGCAATAATTATTATAATTATATAAATTCCTATATCCTGCAACGTGGCCTTGTATCAACAGG